CAGCTACCTGAACTGAGTTACTACACTGCTTCCAGCAAACTCTGTCTCTCAGATCTTTAGTTGCACACTTTGTACAGTTACACTTTGGATGGATTTCCAGATAAATACCCTCACAGTCTTGATCATGGTCTGAGTCACACACTTTCTGATTTGACCTATTGGAGATTCATATATGAGGCAGTCCAACAAATTATTTGTGATTTACAGTGCTTGATAGATGAACCCCTTCCTGGGAAAGCATCTAAGAAACTACCTTTAGGAAACATGTCTGTGAAATAATGTGCCTGTCTGTTGAATTTTGGTTGCCTACTATACAGTTGTTCTTGAAGCTTCAGCTTTCTAATGTTGTGCTCTTCAACTGTGTTTGTACCTGTGCTATTTTAAGAAATTATACTTGTCTTAATATTTTTGGTTTATTATTGTGGGATTGCTCTGTTACAGATTATCTCTTTACGTGAAAATTGTTACGAATTTCTCAGACCAAAAATTAATGTTTATATTAATAAACATACTCTGGCAACTCCCAAGAAATGGTATATTAAAAGGTATTACAAAATTCACTTAAACTTGCAGAGAAATGATGAGGCACAGCAAAAAATCCTTCTGGGGACTGCAGCATTAAGTGTTAGGTGAGATAAACAAAGCAGGCCAGGATTGTTTGGAGAGAAAGATACCTGCTGCCACAGGGTACTGTGATACCAACCCATCCATGATCTAGCATCATCTGAGGAAACAGGGAGTGGGGAATTGCTTTTGCTTTTAAATGGCACTCTTTAGAGCTCCATTGTAGTTCATGTCAGTATCCACATGCATAAACATAAATGCATGTAAGGGTACTGCACAATCTGCTGCTGGGGTCATCAATAAGAAGAATTCCTTAGGAATGTCAGCAGGATGAAATTACTGTTGCAGTGCAAGCATGTTATATCTGTAGGGGGAAATGTGCCAGACATGAGGTTCACAGGGTACAATAAAAAAATTTTAAGAAAAATTTTGAGACCAGAGGCCATTGAAAATAAGTATGTGCCTCGCACGCAACTGGGAGGTGGCTTACTATCTACAGTAGTACATTTTGACTAAGTTGATCTGCGTGCTAAGTGTTCCTGATTTCATTTATCAGGGGAATAGTTGAAGTATACATTTGAGAGATTTCAAGAGCCCCTTGAAGAGAAGCTATGTCTTCTGCTAAGAATTTAAAGTCAGTAGATGACAATTCTTTTGGCATCTTTTTCCGAGATATGAAGATTTTAGAAAGAATAGCCAACAGCACACAGTAGCATCTCACATTAAAGCATTGCTGTTAGGCATGGCTCGTCTTTTATGAAGTGGAAAAACTTTGGATCTACTTAGGCCAAAGCCTCAGGACAAGTATAAAATGCCTTCCTAGGGAACTAAATAAGGAGTCAAAACAGACTTCTGTCAGCACCAACTGCTGGACTTTCCAAGATAGAAGAAGACTACAGTAACACAAATTGGTCTAATCTATCACAAGGTTTCTTTAATTTCTTTTATTATGATGCACCTTGCTCATATCAGGACCTAAGTAAGCAGTGTTAATTACTCAGTCGTGTTCAGGCTACAGCCAGAAATAGACTAACTTCAGTCTGCAAACCTATTTCATTAAAAGCAGTGTACACTGAGCTGTACATTCATGAATAATTGGATGCAGTGACATTTTTATAATGTAACATGCTAAAATAATCTACAGGAGGAGCCTTACCACGTATCAGTATTACAGAGTAGGAAATGTAATAGCCTACTAGTTTCAATTGTGTGAAGTATTTTGCTTAAAAATACTTAGTTAAGCTTCTTAGCTGAATGTGATCCATTACTGTATGCTGTGATCACTTGCCTCTTTTTGTCACTTTCTCCTTTAACCATCAAAAAATCCAAAGTCTAGGAACAGTAGATGTTTCCCATCTTTTCAAAATGTGTACTAAATAGACTGAAATTAAATGTTTGGCAACAAGATTCCCTATGCCAAACCTATGCAACTGCTGAGAGCCTGAAGAGTGTCTGGGTGTTTTCTGATGTCCTATTCTTACAGTGGTTTTTTTGCTTATGCACTGTAGAGATTGAGGTTTCAAATTTCGTGGGAAATTTCGTTTCTAGACTTTCCAGTTGCAAAGATAAATTTGCAATGTTCATGACACCACTGTTGGTCTGTACAAAAAACATTAAAAAATAGTTTAAAGTATGAACTACCCCTTTCTGACAGCAGAATTTGAAGCCTGTGAGTACATAAATTCGAATATTGTTACAAATCTTTTTAACAGCAGCCCAGTTAGCTTCTGTATTCTATATTCTACATTCATTTAAAACACAGTTTGCATGCCTAAGCATACACTGCTAAACTTTTTATTTTCCTTACAGTTGCTCAAGGGATCCCATTTTCATCCCAAACTTAGACCCCTCCTCAGTGTTTCCTCATTACATTACCTCTGCCACCTTCAGAGTATGCTGAGGCTGTTATTCGCTGATGGTAAATATGAATAGATGTTACAATCCAGGTAATTTTAACAACATAGGCTAATCAGGATTAACTCTGATACTATTCTGCCGCTGCAGGGACTCAGGCTTGCTGAAAAAAGAACTGATGGTACTTAATAAATTCTAACCCTTTTGGAAACAGTGTCAGCCTATGCAAATATATATCATCTTCCCACAGCAGTTCTGATACCAGTAGTTTTATACAACTTTCATTCAGCAGACTTCTGCCTAAATGGGCCAGTACCTCCCATTTGAAGATCCAACCCAATATGGGCAAACTGGATGGTAATGTTTGAATCTGAGAAAGAAAGCAGACAAAAAAGAATAGACATTCAGTTGTGTTAAATAAAGAAGAAAATTATTGCACATCTTTGCACAGTAAAGAAGATTTTTAATACAAATGCTGTCTGCCTAATTATGGACATTTGTCTACCATAGTCTTAATTTTCACTAACCTCTTTAGGATAATAGACTGAGTTCCCTCCGTAACTAATCTTATTGGTGGCAGAAAGTTGATCAGTGTCTTAGTGAATTGCACAAAGCAGCTGCCTGCCTTAAACAGGCTTCTCTGCTGCAATTCCTAATTGTTTGCATCCCATGAAAGAATTTCTCCAGTACACAGTGAGTATCATGGGAAAAGTTATTGTTGTTCCAAAGTTATTGGCAATGCAAAACAGCTGCCAAGGGAGGAGTTTGCAGGTCCTTGCAGCATTGAAACAGGTTGAAAGTCAGGGAAAAGGTCAGAATTAAACAGTAGCTACAGAGGATAGAACTGTGGAATCATCGTAAAATCATCCATGTTGGAAGAGAACCTTAAGTAATCATCAAGTCCACCATCCACCCAGCATTATCACTGTAACCACTGAAGCATTAAACCACACCACCAGCACCAGATCCACATGTCTTGCACACCTCCAGGGATGGTGACTCCACCATCAGGGACACCTATTCCAATGTGTGACCACCCTGATGGTGATAATGTTTTTCCTAATATCTAATCTGAATCTCCCATGTCTCAGATTGAGGCCATTTCCTCTTGTCCTCTCACTGCAGGCACAGCAGGAGACTCTCGTTTCAGCGAGTTTTAGAGAGCAATGGGGTCAGCCCTGAGCCTCCTCTTCTGGACACTAAACAACCCCAGCTCCTCGAAAGATGTGTTTTCCACATCTTCCACCTGTGTAAAGAGGTCCCGTGCCCACGCGTGGCTGCATTTTTACTGGGGCCTCGCTCTCCCCAAGCCATCCGCCCGTACATTCCCAGCG